TTAAGATCAGAGGGCCCACTGAGATCATTTGTGGTCTTGAAGATGCATTTCAGATATCTAGTCCAGGGATAGGCAACCTTCCACACTGCAGATGTTTTGGACTACACCTCCCATGATGCTCTGCCAGCATTATGGCTGTAGGAGCATTGTGGAAGATGTAGTCCACAGCATCTGGGGTTCCAAAGGTTGCCTACCCCTGATCTTGTCCTTTTATGTGGGGTATATCAATGCACATTTGACAAGAAAGTCAATAAAGGGACACTCCAGGCACCCAGACCACTTCTGTCCATTGGAGTGGTCTGGGTGCCAACTCCCATCACCCTTAACCCTGCAAGTGTAATTATTGGAGTTTTTATAAACTGCCATAATTACCTTGCAGGGTAAGTCCTCCTTTAGTGGCTGTCTATAAGACAGCCACTAGAGGGACCTCCGGGTTCTTAAAACACAAAAAGTGTTTTACACGACGCTGGATGTTTTTACGCTATGCGTGAGGACCTCCAGCGTCATCGGAATCACCATAGGAAAGCATTAAATAATTAAATAATGCTTTCCTATGGGGAGGTTTACTGAGCATGCGCAGTCATTGCCACGCATGCGCATTAGGTCTCCCCCGCCGGCTGACTTTGGTGGGGGAGGAGCGTGGGCAGAGCCTGACCTAGTGCTGAGGGACATCGGCGCTGGATTCAGGTAAGTTGCTGAAGGGGTTTTAACCCCTTCAGCAACATGGGATGGGGGTGGGAGGGAGAGGGCAATGCAGGATTCTGCAGTGTGAGGAAAACAGATTTGTTTTCCTGGCACCTGAGAGTCCCTTTAAGAAGATATCAACCAATATTATGGAGTAATATATAATAGCAATTAAAAATAAAAAAATCGACTATAAACTATTTGAAGACAGACACAAGCAAAAAATATTATCTCAAAAACATACCCTCCAAGTCCAAAACTTCTTTGCTTCTCAGTGATATCTTCTTATCCATTTAATTTTCAAAAACTATGTCTAATTCTTATTCTCTTCTCTTAGTCAACCTTTATCTATTTTACTGTTAGGGGCCTGAGGGTGGCTGTCAAGTGTAACAGCCTGTTAAAGTTTTGTGCAATAGGAGATATGTAACAGGCTGCAGGAAGATAGAAGGCTCACTGGTCTTAATGATTTAAGGCTAGCTGGAGGGAGAGGGGGTACACTTTTGAGAAGGAACTTTTGATTTCCTCAGCTGAAAATCAACATTTTAACACCCATCAGTCTGAGCAGGCAATGGGAGGTGATAAATGCTTTCACATGGAGCTATTTCCTCAAGAATCTCTAACATTAGTCCCATGACTTCTGGAGGGAGCTCAAACAATTTAGGACCATGGATATGGTTTCAGCAACCACAGGAATTATGATACAAAGCCTGACAATATAAAATAAATAAAATAGTTTACCTACTAACCTATAAATATATACAGATGCTCAATCAGAATGAGATCTGTGAAATGTGGAGGCCAAGCCAAAACCTTGGACTCTGTCATGTTCCTCAAACTATTCCTGAACATTTTTTGCAGTATGGAAGTGAGCATTATCTTGCTGAAAGAGACCACTGTCTTCAGAGAACACCACTGCCATGAAGGGGTGTATATGGTATGCAACAAGCTCTAGATAGGTGGTACGTTTCAAAGTAACATTCACATGAATGTCAGGACCCAAGATTTCCCAGCAGAACATTGTCCAGAGCATAGAACTGCTCTGCCAGCCTTCCTTCTGCCAATTGTGCATCCTGCTGCCATCTCTTTTCCAGGTATAAAAAAGAATAACAATGCCTCCAATGACCTGCTTTCCATGTAAGTGACGCAGAAGCAACCAGCCATTTACCTTTACCTGATCTAATAAATATGTGATTCATCAGACTAGGCAACCTTCTTCCATTCCTAAATGGCCCAGCTCTGACAAACAGATTATCATAATGTGGCATTGATTTTAAAATTTTGGGATATGATTTTCAATTGATTCAAATCTGTTAGAAAAACATTTCAAATGATTTATCTTTAAACTTCCCATAGACTTAAATGATGACCACTGCAGATACATAATTTAAAAGGTGATTCTTGCAGGTTGAGATGATTTAAAAAGCGTATATGAAAGAATTGAATTGAGGCCATGATCAGTAAGTTTTACCAAAACTTTGGCCCTTGTCAAAGTCACTCAGATATTTTTGCTTGCCCATTTTTCGTGCTTCCAACACATGGAATTCAACAACTAACTGTTCACTTGCTGACTAATAAATCCACCCATTGACAAGTGCCATTGTAACAATATAAAATCAATGTTATTCACTCTACCTGTCAGTGGTTTCAGTGTATAGTGCAGTAGGCAACACAAGGTGACACACACCATCCACTGCATAAGAATCACACTTTATCTAGTAAGAGCCTTTAAATTGTTCTAGGGAACTGCATTTGTGGAAGGAGAAGACCTGTAAATAGGTGCTCCCTATAGAACATCTGGCAATAATGTGGGTATCTGCTTAGGCAATGGTGAGATGAGACCCTGGTTGTAATGTCATATGCTAGTGCTTACAGATGGAATAGGTATTGGAGAGGAGTTGGAAAGGGTCAGAGGTAAGTACATAAATTAGTCTCTGCAAATTGCCTATGTGGAGAAAGCTTTTCACAGAATTCAATATGACATTAGGTAAGGCAGAGGCAAACATTTCCACCAGTAATAAAAGAAAAGAGTAATTATTATTCAAGATCAACTCACCCCAGAAAGTCAGAATACTAAAAACAAAGGAGCACAGTATCTAAACATTGCCCAGAATACAGCAAAGACCTAAAGAAAAGGTACATGAAGGAGTTATTAAGAGCTATTAAGTCACTAGACAAACTCACATCAGAAACAGATAATTTCCAATGAGCATATAACCCTGTATAGACTGCTACATGGATCTTGCAAGACTAGTATCATTTTTGTAGAAACAATTTACTTACTAGGGACAACGCTGAAATGCTGGTTTCACAAACTGTTATTTCTATACATCCAAGAGATGTGGGAAACATTTACAAATACATGGCACATTTTGGTGGCAGCAACATCTGATTTGTAGAATTTATGACTAAATTATCAAGCATAAGCTTTCTAAAGCCATACCCCATACACAAGTGGGATAAAATTAGTAACTGCAGCCTTAACAACATAACAGGTGATTATGTCGGAGCACTGAGTAAAATGAGAGGCTAAATTAGGTTTTTGATAGTGCCATGTGACACATGGGTACTTTAGCACAACTTAAACATTAAGACCATGTTTTAATGAGGGTATAATATCTCAAATTTTATTGCACCCACTTGAACATAAGTAAGACATTTTTGTTCATGTGTTTGCTTGACATTGGTTCGAGGACTAAATATCATGCATGCTTCACAGTAGATGACTGCTTATACAGAACACACCCGTATTCTGTATTTTGGCATAGTGTTTATTTCTCACAAAGAATCCAGTAGTTAGTTAATACAGAACCTTTACATTTTAGCTTCTCTTGAAATTGTAATTCTTTCCAAACAACAGTTTTAGGAACAAATGTCTTATCAATCTTCTTTTATGTGCTTGCCCATTAAACACAACTGGTCAAATTCCCTAATAGTAGTGCAGATTGTTAGTTATAATAAGAAGAAATACAGTTCTGAAAAATAATTAAGACAGGTATTTACCCTAATTTGCAATCAAGACAACAAAAAAGAAATTAATCAGCTGACTTTATCTCATACACAGTGTTACATCATCCCTGCAGCAGATGTGCTCTGAAGCCCTAGTTCCCTTTCCTTCTTAGGATCATCTATCCTTTAACATCCCTCAATGCATATATTTAACATCTGCTGATTTCCTACTGGGTAGTAAAAAAATGAAACAATTTTTACACACTGTTTGACAGATCTAAACCATGAGCACTTCACATTAAGTTTTTAATATTGTTTACAGAAATGAATAAGCAACATTAAAAAATGATGTAAAATATCACGTATGCGGTCTGTTTACAGTCAGTTTTATATTGGCTGGTTAGAGCAGTGGTAACCATAGAACTGAAAAACCCAGGTTTGAATCCTGATCAGACCACCTTACCAACGAAAGTGTCCCAGGGCCTTCTTAACCTCTCAAATGTCCACTTCCATAATGTCCTTTTACATAATTTGAAAGTACTGTGGAATATGTTGGAGCAATATTAATAATACAATTATTCCTCTAGATGTTGTGGACTACATTTCCCATAATGCTCGTACACCCATATGTTGGCAAAGCTTTAAAGAAGATGTAGACCACTCCATCTGGAGTGCTGAAGGTTGCCTACCCCAGCTATATAGTCTGTTTAGTTTTTTTATTAACTATTTCTGTATTTATTGATTGTTTTTATATTTTATTTTTAATATAATGTATACATTAATTTATGGAGATACATCTCTTAACTACACATATGGAAAGAGTAGTTAGTTTTGACTATCTGTCAGCTGAAATTAGTGTGAAGTTCTCCTCATACTTCATTGACAATATTCTTGTTAAATACTAAAAGCCAAATTCATGAAAAGCCCATGATGCCTCTTATTTCTGAAATGCCAATACATTTGTCACTAACAATTTCACAAAAAAACGAAATCACTCAAACATTTCTATTATGTAATCCTCTTAACCATTTCTGCATGCTTGCTTTATCTATCTATCTATCTATCTATCCAAGCGCTGGCCCTGCACTGTGGCATGGTGGACCGGTGGGCAGATTAAAGAGTTCCCTAAAATGTAAAATGTGGCAGCCAGCAAGGGGGGGGGGAGGGGGGAGAGAAGACCCAGGAACTCTAGCTGTTGGGTTCTCCCTTAAGCTTAAGTCAACTCCCCACTAGTACCACCATGGGTTTGAAGCAATGTCCCCTCTCCCAGCAAAAAGGTAAGAAGGGTGGGTGGATATAATGTATATTTATTTAATTAAAACAAAATGTATATCTATATATTTGCTTTAATCTGCCCCCCCCCCATACTAAACACCTCCCAAAATATTCACACACTGCACCCCACCCACACACACTGCACCCCTCACACACACATACACACACAAATTTCATCCCTCACACACACACATTGCACACCTCAAGCACACTGCACTCCTCACACACACACACTGCAACCCCCCCCACACACACACACAGTCTGCACCCTTCACACACACTGCACCCCTCACACACAAACACTGCAAGAAAAACACACACATGGCATCCCTCACACACACATGGCATCCCTCACATTTACACACTGCAACAGACACACACAGTGCATCCTATGCACACACTACACCTTACTTACACACGGCACCCTTCACACACTGTATCCTTCACACACACACACACACACACACACTGCATCCTACGCTAACACACGCTGCACTTCTACAGACATTACATTCCAGACACATACATTACATTGCAGACACACACCTCTACACCTATACAACTCTGGGTCCTCTACACACACACAAAAAACATATACAAACTAGATTATCTATACACACTCTGAATCCACTGCACACACACTAGATCCCCTGCACACAAACTAGATCCCCTACATCCACACTACATTTCTGACATAAGCACTCTGGAATCCCTACACACACACACACACACACACACACACACACTGCACCTATACAAACATCACATTCCAGACACACACATTGCATTGCAGACACACACTAAATTCCCTACACAACTCTGGGTCCTCTACACATGCACACACTCTGCATCCTCTACACACACACTGCACCACCTACACACACTACATTTCTGACATACGCACTCTGAAACTCCTAAAGTAAACACATGCTACATTCCCTAAACAAACACACACTTTATAGCCCCTACACACACTACTTAACCTATACATACATACACTACAAACCCTATGCATACATTCGCTATTTCCCCTATACACACACTCTACAGTCCCTAGCCACACATATTACACCACAAACACAACACAACACAACTGAAACCAATCTATTTAAACAAAACTGCCCACGGAGGAGAGTGGGAGGATGCCTTAGCCGTTTGACAAAGCCCCGAGGGAGGGGCGAAATGCGTCACGGATCCGGAACCAGGAAGTGAATTACAGACGGTCGGCAGTGACAGCCAGGACAAATGATCCGAAGGACTTTTACATTCTATTATTGTATGGGACTTTCCTTTCGGTTTCCAGAGGCTGGTGAGCAGACCAAGAATTGTACACAGCATTTTTTTGTTTTTAACTGTTCTAATAAAGAATACTTACCTGACATCCGGATTGCAAGTTTCTTTCCCACGGATCCTACGCTCTCTAGAGGCTGATCCTCCCTGAGTGCCATAGCCACAAGTGGTGGTTTTACCACTCCACCTTTGTGAGTGTGATACTTTGTGGATTATTCTGATTTATACATATATATATATAAGCCTTTTTGTGCTGCACTAGGAGCCCTCTCTTGCTTTTGTCTCCTACAGATTGTTTTTTAATCACAACCACTGTCTTGCACTAGGTATTGATACCAATATACCGTATATGCACCTTAAATTAACAACACGGAGGCATATTAATTCTCAATAAGAGGTCCACAGTGAATGGTAAATTTCTTTCTGTTGTGCACAACCACTACTGTAAACTATATATATATTTATATACATACACATACACTGTCTTAAGTATATTTTGAAATTAATAAACATATAATTATGTGTGTATATATATATATATATATATATATATATATGATATTATTATAAAAATACACTTAGAATGATAGTATATATATATATATATATATATATATATAATAATATATTATATAATTATATATATATATATATATATATATATAATATATAATATAATTGTATAAATATATATATATATATATATATGTAAAATAAGTTAATATATAAATAAGTAAAAAATTATAAAATATAGAAATAAAATTTATATACATGTGTAATTTCTTTCTTATTGTATTTTGATATATATATATATATATATATATATATATATATATCAAAATACAGTAAACTTAGAACAAAATGATATATAGGTGGAAGGGGTTTTCAATTACAATTTTCCCACATAATAACCTATTTGGATTTTGCTTCCCAAGCACTACCAAGCCTCAATAAGCAAACCAGTAACCAACCTCATGCTGACGAGTTGCATTAACAATGAAACAGCTGTCCATGAGTGGTTCACTGGTTTTGCATCTTTTCCTATATTGTGTTTCAACTGTTGTATACAGCAAACACAGATTAAAAGGAATCCATGTTTAAAATGGAATGAGGCAAACATGTTAAACTAATTTACATATACCCACCCACTGTGGGAAAAGCAAGTCTTATGGCTTGACTTTTGCAGGTTTTCAATCACAATTTTTCCTCACCATAACCTATTTGGATCCGAAATGCCAGCAAGTTATATACATAAATATATTTGTATGTATTTTTATATATATATATATATATATATATATATATATATTAAAATAATTTTAAAAATTACATATATATATATTAAAATATTTTAAAAAATACATATATATATATAGATATGTAATTTTTTTTAATTTTAACTTATATATATATATATAGATATATAGATATATATAAATATATTTATGTATATATTTATATATATATATATATATATATATATATATATATATATATATATAATTTTGTTCTCAGTGTATTTTGATATCAATATATATATAAAAATATCAAAATACAATTAGAATGAAATAACACATGTATATAATTTTTATTTCTATATTTTATTATTTTTTATTTTTTACTTATTTATATATTTATTATATATAATACTATATATATATATATATATATATATATATATATTTAATATATATAATACACAAGATTCACTCACTTATCCACTAAACAGCAACTTCAGTGCTGACAGATTTTATTTTATTTTTTTATTTTTATTTTTTTACCTAATCTAGGCAAAAATAATGAGGGTTTAGATACATTATATTATCATACATTGCATAAACCTGCCACAACATCAATGTACCCCAACTTTGGCAGGTTCTACTCTAACAGCCTAATGTCTACTCTTATGAGATTAACCCACTCTCTGCAGTACAAGGCTAAATAGGGCCCTAGAATGAGGCACCTGTGACAGGGAGGTATGCAAAACCAAGGAGTTGGCTAGATCTATATATATTTAAATTCTACATATATATGTCTGTAATATTTTTACATAATTACATCATTTTATTAATTACAATTTGAGAGACCTGCCTCATAAGCCAGGCAGAAAGTCCACATAATTTGGTTCACAAGCCATATATTTAACCCTGTAACTTTCCAGGACACCCTAAAACCTGTACATGAGGGGTACTGTTTTACTCGGGAGACTTCGCTGAATACAAATATTAGTATTTGAAAACATAAAAACGTATCACAACTATGATATCGTCAGTGAAAGGGCCATTTTCTGCATTTTTCATACACAAACTGCAGTTTCATTGATGATATCATTGTTGTGTAGTTTAACTGTTTTGAAACACTAATATTTTTATTCAGCAAAGTCTCCCGAGTATAACAGTACCCCCCCATGTATAGGTTTTATGGTGTTTTCAAAAGTTACAGAGTCAAATATAAGGCTTGCATTTCAGTTTTTCACATTGAAATTTGCCAGATTGGTTATGTTGCCTTTGAAACCGCATGGTAGTCCAGGAATGAGAATTACCCCCATGATGGCATACCATTTACAAAAGTAGACAACTCAAGGTATTGCAAATGGGGTATGTGTAGTCTTTTTTAGTAGCCACCTAGTCACAAACACTGGCTAAAATTAGCGTTCAAATTTGTTTTTTCATTTTTCACACATAAGCAAATATGAAGTCTAACTTTTGCCAGTGTTTGTGACTAAGTGGCTACCAAAAAAGACTGGACATACCCCATTTGTAATAACTTGGGATGTCTACTTTTGCAAATAATATGCTATCATTGGGGTAATTCTCATTCCTTGGCTACCATATGGTCTCAAAGATAACATAACCAGACTGGGAAACCTGTACATGGGGGTACTGTTTTACTCATAGTTGAATACAAATATGTGTACTCTATTGCAGTAACAGATAACAGTATTATGACATTCACAGTTAAAATGCCATGCAGAACTAAAAAAAACAAAAAACATTTCTTAATTTATCATATTGTTTTAGATTTTATTCATATTATATTATGTTTCATATATAAATATTTGATATGAAATTAAAGCCCTATTTCTCCTAGACATAATGACATATAATAGGTGTGGGTGCATTTAATATGAAAGAGGTGAAATATGGTTGAACAGACATTTAGCGCAAATTCAAAGTTTTGCGCATGTTTTGTTTTGATTTGAACTTGTACAACTGCCTTAGTCCTTAAGGGGTTAAATAGATTATCTAACACAGGGATTATTTTGTACATTTAGTTATTTACTATCTTTACAGTCATCATTTAAGAAGCTTCTTTCAACTATAAATTGCAAGCAGCACTTAAGATAACTGCAGCATTTTAATAATTTTCCTTCAAATAGTATCTGAACCACTATCAGTGATAGTGAAAACTATTCCAGTGTGTCAATAACAATTTTTTTGTACTCCCACTAGACATGTATGGCACTTTTACAATGCTAAAAATAATAGAGAGCATTAGCAACACTGCGATTTGCTGTTTTACATGAATAAGCATGAATTTTATTCTGTGCTTTTAATGCTATACGCTATGATGGTATATCTTTATTTAGATTGTACTATTTTTTTTTGGAAGCGGAGGTGACAGTGATGCTGTAGAAGTCCACTGCGGGGAATACACTTTGTCAACATATGCTTTTTCATTCTGCAACTGATTCAGTCTATTCTCTACCGCAAAATAAAGAATTTGAAAAAAAAATTTGCTAATTTGATATTTTTCAAATGCCAACAAACTAACCCAGACATGGGTCTACTAAAGGTGTCTTTGCAACCTTGTTCCTCAAGTGAATGGTTGACTTGACAATTTTCCTCCAAGGTATTTATTTTACCTGGTTGGTCGCAAAGTCAGTATAACCTTACCATTATTAATAACAGTCCTTTGTATCTAATATGTTGTGCAATCAATAGTCTACTAATGATGTACGTGGAATGACTACAACTCACAAACAGTCACCTAGAATTGTAGCTATGAAGT